AAAAAAAAAAAAAAAAAGAATAATTTCAGGATATGTGTAGACTCAGAATTCAGGCTAACATGGGTGAAGAAGAGAGTGAGAATTGAAGAGATGGAGTCTGGATAGCTCCATGGTACGATAGGGAAGTTTGAGTCTGTGAAGAGTTAGAGACATGATCATGTTAAATGTTGACAAAAAGGAGCCAGTCACCTCCTATGATATGATATATATCTCAACTAGTAAATTCTGAAGGTCAGGATGGAGATTGTCCTACTCAAACTTATTCCAAGTAGGAGTCCTTAATGGTGGAGGGAAATTAATACAACCTTTCAGAGGAACAGAGAGGTGTGACTGAAGCTACTTTCAGGCAATTTCAGGTTCTACAGGCATCTTTCTTATTTACTGGGGCATAAGAATTATGGCAAATCCTAGATCCAATCATCCAGCTACAATGATTATCAAACTCTTGTGTGTGATGCAAACTGTCTGGTAATGAAATAGTAGCCCATGCAGCAGCTTGTATCCAGCATTTCCAAAATAGCCATAAAGACTGGATATAAACCAATAAAACTGCCTGCTTTTTTAAATAAGTAGCCAAGACTCTAACTAATAGCTCACTAATGAGGAAATAAAAGGTGTAATTATTATAATGAGGAAAAATTTCAGTAATCTAAAGGAAGTATGCTGTCAGCAAAGTTGAATTAAGTTATAGGCTAACTTGCAATCCACTTAACATAATTATCGCATACTCACTCACAACTGTGAAAAATGATTCTGTCATTGTCATTGCTCAAAGCTGGTATGTCAGCTAAAATTTCCATTATTCAGTGAGGTACAGTCATTCTAGAGTACATAAGTTAAAAGGTTTCTCAAAATTAAAGTCATAGCTTTCCCTCAGATTAAATTATCCAACATGATTTGAGCATTGATTTCAGTGTATTGTTTGTGTCAGAAATTGTCAGCTGCCTAACAGCAGATTCTAAAATGAATTCAGCTTTGTCAACTATAGCCCAGTGACCCCAACCCAAACCCTAGGGCCATTATACGGGAGGAAATTAATTTATTTTGTGAATAAATGTTTTTGTTAGCTGTGTTAGTTGGACAGTTGTGATCCACAGGGTTTTCATTGGCCGATATTTCAGAAGTAGTTCTGCTGAAACCTGTTTATCATCATGGCAACACAGAAACCTCCACTGACAGACAGATGGTGCCTGCACATAAGGTGCCCTGGCCAGGAATCAAACCCAGGAGTCCTGCACGGAAGGCAAGCATTCTACTACCCAACAACCACTTTGCCCTTGGAGAAAGAAATTTTGTTTTTAAAATACTACTTTAAAAAAAGGTTACTAGTTAAAACTTTTTATTCTCTTGTTTCATTGTAAGCCATTAATTTCAAGGAGAATGAATACACTGACAGATGCTTCAATTGTCCAAGGATTTACTTCCACAGCAAAAAAGAGAGATAAAGGAAGGAGGAGAGAGAAAATTCTATTTTATTTAAAGTTTAGTATTCTAAGAACCTGTAATTAAAAAAAAATATATATGAGTAACTTTGAATAAAACAGCAGATATGAAATTAATATATCCATGTCTCTTCTTGGAACAGGAAAAAGCAGAAAGAAGGAGAAATGCCAGGATGCTGATCTCTACCCTCTAGTTGAAATGGAACTGTGTCCTTGTGATGTATTTATATCCCAACCTTATGGAAATTGGTCAGATTGCATTCTTCCAGAAGGCAGAAGGGAAACTCAGCGAGGATTGCTGGTACAAAGAGACACCAAAGAATGTGGAGAAGGTGTGCGCTTCCAAGCAATCGTCTGCTTTGATAAAAATGGAAGACCTGTTGACCCCTCCCATTGCAGCAGCTCTGGTAAGGAGATAGATGAGGAGAAATAGATGAGAATGTTGATGTACAGCCTAGGAGATTTGCCCAAGGTCTGACATTAGTGGCTTTGTTCTGTAATAATTGTTTTAGTTCTCTTTTGTCAATAACAGAATAGCGCCCTACTTTTCATAAAATATGGACATAAGGAGTACACACATGCAAATGTCAATTATCTGAAATGTGATTGTTTGGATCCTTGATTCACTTCACTCTATCCTTTTTTTAAAAAAAAAACTTTGCAGATGTCTTTGTTTTTATTTTACTTACTAGAAGGAAATCTTACCAGCAAACCACTCACTCTGTTCCTTAACCTTTTGTTTATTGGCTCTTTGAATATTGGCAGGGAGCAAGTTGCTGTGCTCGACTGTGAAGACCAAAACCCAATACAAATGAACATATATTATAGTATTATTTGGTACCCAAAAGTTATAAATAGAAAACATCAGACTTGGAGAATTTTCTAATTTAATTGACAACATACCAATGAATAATTGATTTCAAATGTTTTACAACACAATTTGTAAATACAACTAAATGAATATAATAAAATAGTAGGGAAACCACTAGTAAATTAACTAAGAATGTCTTGTGAGATGTTAATCAGGGAGAAAGTTATGTTTTTGAAACTTGATCTTGTTAGGTGCCACTGCATCTGTTCTGACTTGTAGTGACTCTGTGTGAAACAGAATGAAATACTGTGTCAGTCTTGTGTCATCCTCACAATCATTGCCATGTTTGAGCCCATTGTTACAGCTACCGCAACATCTCAATGAAGATCTTACTCTTTTTTGCTGACCATCTTCTTTACCAAGGATGTCTTTTCCCAGAAATGAGTCCCTCCTAATATTACTCCCAAAGTATGTGAAAGGAAGTCTCAGCATTCTCTCTTTTAAGGAGCATTATGGCTGTACTTCTTCCAAGATAGATTTGTTCATTCCTCTGGCAGTCCAAGGTATATTTAGTATTCTTTGCCAACACCATATCTCAAATGCCTCATTTTTCCTTTGGACTTTCTTATTCCTTGTCCTTTGTTCATATGCATATGAGGTAAAAGAAAATACCATAGTTGGGTCAGAGGCACCTTAGTCCTCAAAGTGACTTCTTTGCTCTTCAATACTTTAGAGAGTTTTTTTTGCAGCAGATTTGCCTAGTGCAATGCATCATTTTATTTTTTGATTGCTGTTTCCAGGAACGTCAATTGTCAATCTAAGTAAACCATAGTTGGGAAAATTTGAAAGATATGAGTAAATGGAGAATAAAATGAGGGTCCATACTGATGAGGTGAAGGATTAAGAAAGAGGCAAAGACTAATGATTAAATCTGGATTTATGAATTTTCTGCCATACTTCCTTGTTTTTATTATCTTTTTAATAAAAGAATAAACAAAACTTATAGAGGAGCATGGAGGGAGAAAATTTGCACTTCACTGGAAAACTCAGGAAGCAAATAGACAGATTTTAGGTTTAGTCACCAAGATGTTATGTATTAATAAGCTTTCTGAGTAACACAAGTAATGAAGAAATGAATTTAATGTTAATGTACCAGCCACAGGGAAATAATGAGTCCTTTTTAATTACTAAATGTATTGCCATTTTTGATTTAACATATACACATTTAAGATATATATTCATAATATATATGAATGCAATTTAAGGTTTAATGATTTTTTAATTAACACCATCATTGTGCTATATCTGCTGCCCAGACTAGTCGAGAGAATTGCTTACAGTGAGTTGACTTTCAAAAACATTACACATCATACAAACACATCATACTGCAAACAATGAACCCACTTTAAAGAAGCCAAAGTTCAGTGACTCTAATCTTTGTTTTTTAGCTTTTGTTTGCATGTTGATTGATTTATTCCTTCATTTAATCACACTCTATCTATTGACCATCTACTATGATTCTGATCCTTTTCTATGACTTGAGTCTAGATTTTTGGGAAAATTAGGGACTTACATATTTTTGTTGTCTATTGAGAAGATAGAAATAAATGAATAAAATGAATTGTACTTTTGGATTAACTCTCAGGATGTAAAATAGAAAATACTTAGATTTTAGAGGCATCCTCACTGAAATGATATTTATCTGAGATATGAGGGATAAGAAGAAGGCAGATCACTAGATATGATACTATATTATTTCAGGCTATCAGACAAGCACATGGAGAGGATATAAGACAGGAAAGAACTAGATGTCCACAGGATCTAAGGCAAGTCCTGGAAGTATTGGTAAAAAAAAAAAAAAAAAAATGTTTTGGAGCTAGACTATAGGGAGTAAAGGGGAGTTATGTGAGCTGAGGTAGAAGTAGGTGGAATCTTTAGGGAAAAGTAAAGAGTGTGGATTTCATTTAAGTGCAATGCTCAGCATGAAAAAGCTACCTGGGACATGAGGGGGCAAGTAATGTGATCCAATTTTTTAAAGATCCCTTTTGACTACTGTGTGTGGAATGACTTAAATGGGGCAAAGACTCCATTAGGAGATTATTGTAGTAGTCAAGGTAAGATATAATTTTAAGTGAAACCAAGTTGGTGACAATAGAGAGACATGGTTTTAAGGTAATTTGGAGATAAAATTAGCAAAATTATTCTGAATGCCAGGCATCCTTTTTCTATATTAGCTATTATTCACTTCTAATTTTTCATATGTATATTCTTTATTTAGAAAATAATCATTTCAGGTTAGAAAGGAAAATATTGTCAAGGAGGGAGGGACATTGATAACTTAACCAACATGCAAAGCAATCATAAATGCTATTACAGAGTTTGCAACATTTCGCCAATGAAAAGTCTTTTGATGAACAAGATTTACCATAGACCCATCATTTATTTTTTCTATATTTAGGTTAAGATACCTTTATAGTATATTCTATAATCTGTGACACTGTTAGGGATATGACACGCAACATATATATTATTTAACTCACTATTAAGAATGACATTTTATTCACAGACAAACTGAGGAACAAAGCTATGACCTCAATCTGGCTCTCCTAGTAAGAAAAATAAATACTTTTTTCTTTTAAATACTTGCCAAAGGGGCAAGGAGGCCATGTCTTCTGACCTCTTCTAACCCCACAAGAGGAAGACAGAATCACCATTAATAGCCCAAGGCCTATTCTTGTGAGACCAGACATGCTGCCTTCCTCCAGCCCTTTCATCAACCCTGACACCAACCATTCCTCCTGCAGCACCCACCACCTCTCTGCTGGGTTTGATAATTTCCGGCAGTGGCCACACAGAACTCACAGATTATAAGGTTTTTTAGGGAAGCACCAGCCTACAATTCAAGCTCAGGAAAAATGCTCAGTCTCTCTCAGCCCACCATCTCTCAGCCAACAGTCTCTCTCAGTCATTCTCTCAGCAGTGCGTGTCTCTCGATCTCTCTCTCCCAGCAGTGTATCTCTCTCGGTGTCTCTTTCTCAGCAGCATCTGTCTTTCAGGAGTGTGTTTTTCTCAGCAGCATGTCTTTCTCAGCCAGCAGTCAGAGAGACTCTTTGCCTCTAGGAGGGATCCTTTTGAGCCCGGCAGAGTGGCCAAACTAAGCACCTGAAAGAGTATAAATTCTTTTACAATACAATCACCTATTTCCTTATATAAGAATTCCTAATATAAGAATTTCTGCTAACCAGAAAATCAGCAGTTCAAAACCACCAGCTATTCCATGGAAAGAAGATGAGGCAATCTACTTCTGTACAGATTTACAGCTTGAGAAACCCTATGGGGATCACTGTAAATTGGAACAGACTTGATGGCCGTGAGTTTGGTTTGGGTTAGTGGATTATCTGGATGATTCAAACCACTGATAATCCAAGCCAAGTCTGTTTGGCTTTGAAAATATTAGTGGGATGGGGGTGCAAAAACTAAAGATGCACTTCATTAAAAAAAAAAAAAAAAAAAAAAAAAGAAAAACACACACAATCTTTTAAAAATGAAGTTTTCCCCAGTTACCCTTCAGGCCTGGAACTGAACTCACTTCCATGGTTTAATCTTAAACCAAACAATAGATAGGCCTACAAGGTGAAAGATTATACCAGGGAGGTACACTTTTTAGATCAATCAATCATTTTCATGGCTTAATCTTAGACAAACAATAGACAGATCTGCAAGGTGAAAGATTACAGGAGGGAGGTACACTTTTTAGATCAATCAATCATTTTCATGGCTTAATCTTAGACAAACAATAGACAGATCTGCAAGGTGAAAGATTACAGGAGGGAGGTACACTTTTTAGAACAATCTATAGTAGGAGAACAGAAGGACAGCATTTGCTCATGGAGAAACCTCAAAAGGCAGGAATGCTTAGAAAAGAAGGACATGGGGAAAAGGTAACTTTAGGGAGGAGGTGGGAAGAGAGCTGTTACATTGTGGAGATTGCAATAAATTTCATGAAACAAAATGTGTATGAACTGTTGAATGGAAAAAGAATTTGCTTTGTAAACTTCACCCAAATCACAATGAAAAGTTAAAAAAAGAAAAAAAAATTGTGTCTATGTCCTGTCAGCAGCTCTTAGTTACTGATGATGTTCATCACGGCTTGATTCCAAAATATGATGTCTTCCCCAACTGTGTAACATCAGGTCAGGTGTTGCCTGGTTTAGGCAACAAGATAACACTATCAAAATTAGGATATTTGAGGTGAGTTCTTTCCAATTATGTCTTTTATTCCAATGATTCTTAGTAACCAAATAAGACATAAAACCACCCATTCAACACACTGCATTCTTTACTCTTTTCTCTCTTGTTCTGTCCTCACTTTCATCCCTCCCTTCATTCTGGCCTCTGTTCGAATATCATTTTATATCAAGTCTTTCTCTGACCTCATTAATAAATCAATCAACCTTATTTCTTAGTCCCCTTACCTGTTTTAATATTCTTCATGGAACTTATTCATCACTTGGAATATTATATATATATATATATGTAGTTGTTTGCTGTATCCGGCAAAACTACACAGGTCATGAAACAAAGTGACACAAAAGG